TTAGAAGATATGACAAATATTAACTCACTTTCCGAATAGGTATCCCTTGTAAGCTCTTTGAAACTTATCTTGATTTTGCCTCTCTTCTCGTAGAATTTTCTGTGTGAATTTCAAGCGGTAAAGTATGTTTGAATCTTTTGGATAAAATTAAACCTGAGCGAAAATTTTTGAACATCGTAATGGAGATGCGTGGTTTCATACTTCGGTCATCGATATGTATTACATTTCGATTAAAAGAAAAGTGAAGAGATCCATCCTCAAAGAGGTCCGCAAGAGATATTGAGTGCCTTTTCAACACTGCCTTGCCAAGGAAGAACGCCGTATGAACATTCGAGAGTTGCCAAATTTCCTACGATAAAATGCTTATTTTTGAGGCAAGTTATGAATATTTTTCCTTTAAATTTTCAGAATCTTTGGGTAAAATTGCGAGCAAAATTTCCTGAAAATTTGGAAGGAAATTATTCATAAGTTTACTAGGAAATTTGCCTTTTATCAAAGGAAATTTGGTAACGCCTGATGGCTCATACGGCGTTATTCCTTAGTACGGCAGAACAGTATAACTATATCTGAGAATAAGCCAGTGCAATGCCCGTAACACGCGATCGAAAGTAAAGCCCTCAAAAAAGCTCATCAGTGGCATTGTAGACTGTTAGCTAGCGGTTAGCCTCTCGATAGCCTGTGTCACACTATCAAAATCCTCCATCAAAATGTCAAGGTCAAGTGCTGTGATTAGTCCAAGTCGTCGGATAAGCCAATCACAACATCTGACCTCGATATTTTGATGGCTAGTTTTGATAGCGTGACACGGGTTGAAGATCGTCTGCCCGGCGATCTTTGGGACACATCACATATCACATCTTGAAATTTGCAAGGTATTTCATGCAGAACTAGCTGAGAAATTAAAGAATTAGTGCATCTTTTAAGAGCTCTACTTGGGTCCTGTGATAAATGGGCTCCTGGCCAGGACCGGATTAAGGGGGTGGTCACATGGGCCATGGCAAATTTTGCGCTTTTTTTAAATGTAGGTATAAAAAAAATCGAATTTAGAAAAATAAATTACAAAAGAGAAGGCGACAAAATCTCTCATTTCCTAGGAGTATAGGCATTTCTAATTTTGTCGTCTTTCAGTGATACAAGAGAGAGCACCTTTAATAAGTCAAGTTAAAAGGGAAACCAAACACGCAATTTGGCCTGGAATTTGGCGACTTAGAGAGAAATGATGACGAGGCCTTGAGATGAAAAGGAGAAGCCCTCGGCGCGGCGATCGGCATGTAGCACGTATTAGCACCTACAAGACTGCACGAATACTTCACGCATTGCATCAAACACAGTGCGGTCATTGCGGACAGCGTGAAACGGATAGTGCCTACAAGAATGCATGAATACCTCACGCATTGCGGCAAACACAGTGCGATCAGCGTGAGACGCATAGCGCCTACAAGACTGCGTGAATACTTCACGCATTGCGCCAAACTCGGTGCAGTCTGCGTGGCGCGGCGGCGGAAGTTAAAATCATTAATCCACATTTATGTTTGTTCTTTCATTATTTTTTCGTTCATTTCTTATGAAAATAAGGTCTTATCCGCACAGAGATAGGTTTACGAAACTTAACTTTCGCGCAAAGTTCCGTGAACTTTTGCTAGTATTGTTGACGGGGCTTTTCCGAAAAATGTGTTCAACACGAGAAAACGCGTCTTATGCACCCCTCCTCCGCTGGCACGTTCATTTGATGGTTTTTATTGATGTTTCAAAACGAATGAGAGGGGGGCGGCAAAATGCAGGCGGCCCATGAGCGGCAAGTAGATAAATCCGGCCCTGCTCCTGGCAGTGATTTGTCTCTACGAACAAATCAAAAATGCGGAGGAAAAATTTGCTCAGTTTTTATAAAAGTTTTGAGGTATGTCCTTATAAGATGTCAAAATATAGGTATTATTTTTTCTTCTTTATTTTTTATTTTTGTAAACGGTTTAGTGATTACAATCCATAGTATGGATCTATTTTCAAAGTTTTGAAAAGCCGTCCGGTTGAACCTGAGAAAAGTGTACCTTTAGCCTCAGTATAGTTTACACGGTGAAGATAGGAACTGCCGACTCCTCCGATACCATAAGTCTCTTGAGAGAAAATTTGCGCTCATTTGGATGAGCTTTTTCTCTAAAAATAGATCTAGTTCAAATTTCAAAAATTTCCCGGATATACTCAATGCAACAATTCGAAAGTATTGCTGAAAGTAAAAAAAATAAACGTGATTTTTCGGCAGAATTTAATGGAAAATCCGCGTCATGGAGGCCTCAAAATACGTCCAAATAGAGTTAAAATTTCAAAAATTTTACGGATATACTTAATGCAACAATTCGAAAGTATTGCTGAAAGTACCTAAACAAATAAACGTGATTCGGCAGAATTTAATGGAAAATTTGCGCCAAAGAGGCCTCAAAATGCGTCCAAATAGAGTTAAAATTTCAAAAATTTCCCGGATATTCTCAATGCAACAATTCGAAAGTATTGCTGAAAGTAAGAAAATAAACGTGATTTTTCGGCAGAATTTAATGGATAATCTGCGTCATGGAGGCCTCAAAATGCGTCCAAATAGAGTTGAAATTTCAAAAATTTTATGGGGGGAGACCCCCCGGACTCTCTTGGGCCAAGGGGTACTCCATACTCCCTAGATCCCCCGGTAGTAGGGGGGCCAGGCCCCCCTAGAAAAATGATCTAGGTACGCCTATGACAATTAGTTCATTTTTATGCTGATAATGTTGCGTATAATTTGTTGGTAGCAAGCATACACGGGAAACAGATTGACGTCATTATATCAGAGCCCTCTTAAGTATTAACTTGTGTTAAGTATTAAGTATTAAAGTGTGTGTTAATACACTAATAAATCAGGTGTGTGTATTAAAGTGTATTGTTACGTGTGTTGTTAAGTATTAAGTGTTCAACGCACTGCCATGGAGTCCCTGGTAAAAATTGGCGATAGGAGCTGCGTTTCAAAATACCATAGGAGTTCTTATAGCCGCGACTAAGAAGGCTACTGAAAATCATATAGCTGGCTGTAGAAAGCGGAGCAAATCATATAGCCGGGCTATACGAAGCTATAAAAAAGTATACAGTCGCGCTATAGTTCCTGTCGCCGGGCTTTACACTTTATCGTCATTGGTTATAAGAAATTGTGTAGAAATGCGTGTGCTTTGGAAATCATTAAGTTTGATACGGAACTACCTTAACATTGACAAAACACACATTATATTTTCCTTTAAAACATATTTTTTTTTTTTTTCATCAATTAAAATGAGAATAGTCCATACAGGGTGTGCAAACATTTCAAAATCATGAGTTGAAAAACGCTGACTCCGCGAGATTAAATATTAGAGCCTAACCAAAAGCAGAGCGGCGACGTACTGGCGCCTACAAACCTAACAGGGATACTTCACGCATTGCGCAATGCGTGAAGTATCCCTGTTAGGTTTGTAGGCGCCAATGCGCGTTTCGCGCTCTCTGCCCTCCCGCTGCGCCGCAGCGTACCACGGCGTCTGAAGCAACTATTTCACACCAGAGGTATTGCACAGTATCATAAGAAATTGAAGGCACTCCAACATATTAAGAATGACAGGCATCCTTCAAAAGTACGGAGCTTTCCTCGCAAAATAAATCAAGATACTACGGCTCGAAGAGAGAGCGGTAGTCCAAAAACTAACTAAGTCCTAGTATCCGTATTTAGTAACGTTTAGCATAAACTTTATCGTCTGGCCGTTGCTTAATCGCCATCGGCTATAAAAGGCTATAAGAAATTGTAAAGTCGGCTACAGAAGCTATTGGAAATCTTGCAGCCGGCTTTAGGTCTATAGTATTTTGGAATACACATTCTACTGCCAACTTTTACCAGGGGTGTGAAGCTACACTTTCGCAATGCTGACCTAACGTTGTTCTCTATGGGGCTGCGTGCTTTCTTATTCGAAAAAGCATTCTATAACCTTCAGGAACTTGTAGGCTAGTATAATTTTACACTTGTACCTTATGTATATCGCTGTATATAACTGTTCACCATGTACCGAATATGACGTGTGCCATAGCCTCGGCCAGAGGCTCAATTGTACAAATTATAAAATAAAAAAATAAATAAATAAATAAATAACTACTACGCCATTTTGGTTGGCTACATATTTAACCCCCTCCTCCTCCCGTTTTTCATCCTTGTAAGGCACTCATGGGACAGACTCTCATCCCCCCTTTTGAATTATCGGAAAATGTTATTCGTCCAAAGGGGAAGACTTACGATAGATTGGACTTGACCCTCCCCCCCCACCATCGTGAGGTAAGACCAGGCATTGTTTCTCCCTTCACTAACATACGTAATACTTGAAGTACTTGAACGGCGCTATACTTGTAAGAGTTTCACTTATCATCCAATGGAGATGTTGCATGTGTGAGGAATTTGCAATTTGACTGTTGATTCTTGCGTAAAAGTTCGCGAGAAACACGATGGTGCCACTGGTTTTCTCTGAAATCATCTCCCAAGCTCAAAAAAAGCTCTCAAGTTGAGGCCAAAATTGAGGGGATATCCCACCCTACCCTGAGAGTCCACCTCCACATCAAGACAAACTCTGCATGCAAAGATAGGGAGCAAATACATTGACAGGGCTACCACTTTATTTGGGGACTCCAAAACTAAAAACACGGCAACCCTGCTAATGTACTTGCTCCCTATCTTTGCATGGAGAGATTGTTTTGATGTAGAGGTGGACTCTTAGGGTTGGGTGGGATATCCCCTCCATTTTGGCCTCAACTTGAGAGCTTTTTTTGAGCTTGCATGGGAGTCGATTTCAGAGAAAGCCAGTAGCACCATCGTGTTTTTCGCGAACTTTTACTCAAGAATCAACAGTCAAATCGCAAATTCCTCACACATGAAACATCTCCATTCTAATCGCAGTATGACGGCATTACGACCATTACGGTAAGTATCCATTTGAAAAAAAAAAAAAAAAATGAATGTAAATATAACTCACCAGGGATGCTGTAGCATCCGGTCCGTACATTTCAATGTATTGAGCTTGAGTTTCTTCGAACTGTTTTTGCAAAATCTTCTGGAAATCGTCCCGAGTGAGCGACGTGTTCTCTACGCCAGGATCACCCCCACCAAGAATAATCGATATGCAAGTACAGGCCACGAACACTAATCGAATTATCATCATCTTGAAATAATTTTACGCATAACAACGTACTACACAATGTAATCGACACTCATGACACTCATGAGCGAACTTCGCTCTATGGACCGTGCGAATGCTGTCCACACTATCTTATAGGTAAATGAGCCGAGTCGATCTAAAAGTTGCGTGCGATGTCAGCGAGAAAAACCATCCCGCCATACCCTCGAATTAATTTTTTGAGGGGAAAAAAAGGGAAGAGAAAAAAATGACTATAACATCGGTAGGAGAGCCCGGTATGGATTTATAAGTTGGGTTGTGAATCACTTCAAGCACAATAAGGTGTACAACTTTTCCCTTTACTTCTGTAGTTTTTCAGAAGTTTCTTTGCACGCAATATTTTTGGATTCTCCGGAAAATTGCCAGTCTCTGACACGGCTGCTCACTCCATTGGCGGAACAATACTAGCGTGCTAAGGAAGAACGTCGTGTATAAACATTGGAGAGTTGTCAAATTTCCCGCGATAAAACACGTATTTTTGACAACATACACATGCATGTTTGGATTCCATTTTGCAAAAAGAAACCAAGAGGATTGTTGAATGTTGCTAAGATTGTGCACCTTCTTTTGTCTTGAAAGAAAAACTCATCTATAAAAATTTTCTATTCTACTCGCTAAAACCTGTTTTAAGACAAAATTACCGTATAAATTTCATGTTTTTGCATGATTTCAGTAGTTTTATTGCAAAAGGTGAAGTTGCACAATCTTAGCAACATGGCATTACTCCTGGTTCCTTTTTGCAAAATGCAATCAATTTTTCCTTGAAATTTTCAGATATTTTAGATTAGATTGCGCACAAAATTGTCTGAAATTTTTGGAAAATAATATTCGCTATTTTCCCAGTAAATTCGGTTTTTATCGGAGGAAACTTGGCAACGTCTGAAGGCTCATAGATTCGGCGTTTTTCCCTACCCAAGTAGCAACGATCGCGAAAAATAGCGATTATATCGGTTGGTTATCGCGATTACATCGGTGGCGATATATATCGAGCTACTATCGCATTAAAAAATTGTGATACATGGCAATTAAATCGCAATTTTTGGTTTGATAAAATCGCAATCAATTTCCGTCGATAAAATCGAGATTAAATCGCCATTTATCGCGATTTTTATTGCGAAAATATCGCAATAAATTGCCGGGCAAAAAACTTCGTGATGTAGGCACTTGTTCGGAACCACTTTGTCGACTGCAGGAAAGTTCCACGTCCATTAACGGAGATTTACTATTTCCTCCCGATTTTTTTTCTTTTTTTTCTTTTTTATTCTGAGAGGAAACTCAGAGTTTATTACTCTTCTCCAAAAAAAATTCGCTAAATTTTCACCAAGTGACGTCATTAGGATTGCGTCTTTCCTATCTTCGGCTGTGTTGCTCACGTTGCCCTTGAAGGACCACTACAAATGAGACAAACGAAACCAACACGATATGGAAATAGTGCAAGGGAAATGGATGCGCGCTGACGACGGCGCAGAGATACAACTATTCGTGTTTGATAGATGTCCGTGCTGCATCTCCAAAATTGAAGGCGCCATGGCGCGCGGCGTAAACTCCCGATTCTCCGCAGCTCCGCTCCATGCACCATGCTACCTGCGCTGACGACGGCGCAGAGATACAACTATTCGTGTTTGATGGATGTCCGTGCTGCATCTCCAAAATTGAAGGCGCCATGGCGCGCGGCGTAAACTCCCGATTCTCCGCAGCTCCGCTCCATGCACCATGCTACCAATGAGGTGTCGCTCGGATTCGGGAAAAAAATTGACCGCGTCAAGCAGAAAGGAACCAAGCCACATCAGCTGTTGCTAAATTTCATTTGGGTAGTTTAACTTTTTACATGAAAGCGGTTGTGCGGCTTTTTGTGCAAATTTCAGTGAATGGACCACCAGAAAATTACCGAAATCATTTCATATCTAAAATATTAACGTTTTTACGTACATTGGTTAAGGGAATTTTGAATTGCCCGTTCACAAGAAACTCAATACTCTGCGTGAATCTAATCGCGTACTACAACGGTTTCGGCAGGCTTCTCAATTTCAATCATTTTTCCATGTTTCTTCACTGTATTTATTCTTGAAAATAAATCTTTCTAAAGAAACCGAATCATCTTACTTAGCCTACTTTATAATTATTTCCTTTTTGAGAAATTTCTATGGGCGCCTTTATATATATAGGTTGAGATTTGAAGAAAAGATATCATACATTCTTCAGGATTTATTTCTCGTTTGATTGGTGTTACTGGGTTGAGTTGATGTGTCCTCTTCTTGGAGATATTTTTCTCTTTCAACTTGGAATCTGGTTTCTATAGTCTCTAAAAATTGAAAGCTTTTGTTGAAGGCATCTAAGACTGGCTTCAAACCCTCTCTCGAGTGTTTCGGGGCTAAATTTAGCTGTTTTGTAACGTTGGATCCTAATTCCTTAAAGTGCCATAATTTATTCTCGGGTTTTTCCAAATGACGCAATGTTTTCAATGCCTGAAACATACCCAAATATTTCTACATAGTAGCGAGACAAAAAAAATACCATGAATTTTCAATTAGGATTAGTGGCAATGGAGTATTCTCACACGCGTCAGAAATATGCGATTTAAGTACATATTCTTATGTAAGATTTCTTGAGAAACACGATGAAACTACTACTTTTCTCTGAGACTAACTTATAAGCTCAAAAAAACCCTCCAAGTTGAGGCCTTATTGAAGGAGATCCCCCTTGCTGTCGCTACGTTGAGAGATTACCTCTACCTACATTTAGTCCAACTCCTCGTGCACACTGCCGTGCTAAGGAAAAACGCCGTATGAACCTCCAGGCGTTGCCAAATTTCCTTTGATAAAATACAAATTTCCTGGTAAACTTATGAATATTTTCCATCTAATTTTTCGAATAATTTTAATCGCAATTTCACCTAAATTTCCTGAAAATTTCAAGGAAAAATCTTCATAACTTTCCTCAAACATAAACATTCTGTCGAAGGAAATGCGGCGACTCTCGAATGTTCATACGCCGTTCTTCCTTAGCACGGCAGCACAGATAAGGAGCAAATACATTTTCAGGGATGTCAGTTACGCGCGGAGTAGAATCAAATAAGTTTTGCTCTTAGAGCCATCGTTTTTTAAAAAAGTGACTTTAGTTATTTTAAGACTTCAGCATGTTTTCTGAAGTCCTCATACTCTATGAAAGTCGATTTTAATAGTGGTCAATCTTCGTTTTCAACAAAAATTTTTTTTTTTGCCTCTTTTATCACTGGAAGGTAAATTTTTTGTCCGTACCGTAGACCAACTAAACAGGCTTGTTTTTCTATCAATACGTGCGATAATAATACCGTTTTAAGTTTGTTTGCACTCATTGAGCTATAATCTTGTAGAAGAATAAAAAAAAATACCCTTCGAAGTT